AAAAGTAGATAATAATTGATGGTGTTGTATAACTCTGCGAGACGCGTTGGCGGGCGCCTCGGATATTTTTACCCATGACGCGGGCACTGCGCGCGCCTCCACCTCAGGCCCCGACTACAGCGGAAAAGATACACTGAACCGAGTAATCTATAACTATAAACTAAAGTAATCAATAGTTTGTTGGAAAAAAAGTATATTTATGAGTGTATGAAGAAATGAGAAATTTTTAATGGTAAAAATAAATACGTACTTTATTGTAATGTAAAATATTTATAATACAGGTTACCTATTTCCGCTTTTATGTTGTTAGGAATAAACTTACATAAATTAACTACAAGGTGTGTGCAAATAATTATTTTTATGTGTAGCTTATTATCATATAAGCTGCTCTTATGCAATGAAATTTTAAAGAGTAAAACGCTGTTTTAATGGCTCCATACTATTCCAGCAGCCAAGGTCCACTGCGACGGTCGTGCCAACTGACGTGACGCCCGACTCTCTGCAGCTGTTTATATACTATACCTATATACCAAAAACCATGTTCCACTCCTCACCCTTGAATTCTCATATTTTGCCAAGTGGCAATGAATCTTTTAGTTCCTATAAATATTTATGCATTATTGCAATGCAATCAGTTCGACTGGATACTGTTTGGAAAGGAGACAAGGAATAAAAGAAAGTGATAATTCCAAATATTTTTATTAGTTATATTAACAGCAATTATAAGTAATAAGTTGATTTTGAAATGTCGCTACAGTAATTAATCATTAATGTTACAGTCTTTGAAATGAAATTTAAATCCTATCAAAATCTTATTTCAAAAACCAATTAAATGCAATTGTCAGTTCTTAGTTTCTAGACCTATTCTCTATGGAACTATTATGGAAAGTTTGTCACAATATTGACGCTGAGACCTGATAATGTCCAATAGCTCAATAGTCAATGAGCCTTGAAACTTAAAACTTACAATCACTGTTCCATTAATCAAATTATGTACAAAATGGAAAATATTTACAAGTCATCAAATTAAATATGCACACAACAATGTCACAGACACACAAGTCCCTCCGTACTACAACGCACAGGGAGACACACAGGCAAACATTATACCATACCAGCCACAAAATCGTAAGTTACTCCATCAATCAGCTTCTGACTTCTAGCAAACACAGACTACTTTGTCAGGGTCCTAAGTACCTTTAACATATAGCTTCAAATGTTTCATAATAAAAAGCTTTTAATAAATAATGTCACAGGACTAGACCCCGACTGGAAGCAAGAATACAAACTTAAGTTAAAATGAGTATGATGTTTCCTGCTACGGATCATCTAGTCATCCATGCAGGAATGAGCCGTCATAACATTTGAGCATACCGGTGATGACCTCCGCAAAACATGGAGTCACCAGAACTCACATTATACACTTAAATAGTTCTTATACATCCAACAGATTTAGTACAACCAATTTAGTTTGGTAGAGTGTCCATGAGTATTTCTTTCACACCTGAACTTAATCTGTCTGGGAATTTGATGTCAAATGCAACTAGCAGATCCCCCTTCCTCGTAGGCTCCTTGGGGAACGGTAGGCCATATCCTGGAAACCGTTTCACAGTGTGGGGCTTGACAACCTCTCCTTGCAAGTTCACAGTTAACTTCTCACCTGTCATTGTTGGTACTTCAATGATTGTGCCACAAAGAGCCTGCAAACAAAAAAAACAATACTATTAGGTATCTTACAATACATAATGATTACATAATATATGGATAAGCTTGTATATTTAGAGAAAAGTTTAATTTTACACTACAGATATACTTTTGTTTATAAACAAATATTGATAATGAGTATGACTTGTAAATTATCAAAATAGTAATACTGAAGTATACTTATTATATGCTTACCTGTTTCAATGAGACTTTAGCTGTATATCTGATATCACTGCCTTCTCTCTTGAACAATGGGTTAGGCTTGTCTCGGATGATGAACACAATGTCAGCTGGAATCTTATTCCTGCCTTGGTCCCCTTCTTTTTGGAAAGTGATTTTAGTGCCTGCCTTCCAGCCGGGCTTCACGTGTATCGTCAACACCTTGTCTTCTTTCTTCGACGTGCCATCGGCCTGGATAACGCGGCGGGAGATCTTCATCTTCTTAACGCAACCACGGGCGATGTCCTCCAACGACACGTATAGATCATGCTCGATCGGTGGATCCTGGGTTTTTTCCTTCCTATTAGGTGAACCATGGAAGTTGAAACTGTGGCTACGGAATGCACCACCGGGACCGCCGGACCGCGTCTGTCCCATGCCCATGTTTGCGAACGGATCCATGTCGACGTCCATGTCCCGGTCGAAGAACATCGTCGTACCCCCGCCGCCACCGTTGAGGTCGAAGAACGCTTGGAACGGACTCGCAGAGCCGAAGAACTGTGCAAATGTAGCTCTCGGATCTCCATGGAACGTATATGAATACGACTGGCCGACGCCCGGTCCGTTTTGACCGCCCATGCCACCTTTCAAGCCTGCCTCCCCGTGCGCATCATAGATTTCTCTCTTCTTCTTATCTGATAACACTTCGTACGCCTCCGCAACTTCCTTGAATCTCTCCTCAGCGCCAGGCGCTTTGTTCTTGTCCGGATGGTATTTGAGTGCCAACTTACGGTACGCCTTTTTTATTTCGTCGTCAGTGGCGCCTTTAGTAAGGCCTAACATTTTGTAGTAATCTTTACCCATTTTATTGAATCGACCTGCAACAAAGAAATAATCAATGTTAGCCTCTATACGTCTGACACCTTTTTAGGAGACGTAAAGCGATGATCCGCGCAACCCTACTCTACATCTAGAAACTTCATTTTTTTTTTAGAAAATACCATAATTAAAATAGAAATTAAACATGGATATAAAGAGAAAAATTTAAGATACTTACAATTACACTTTCAATCAAAATCCAGAAATAACTAGATGAAAAGCTCAAAATTTCACACACAACACAATTCACAACTTCACACTATCTACTTCACAACTGAATGAAACGCAGCGCTGCTGTCGCGCCAAAATATATACATTAAAACGTCTAGAACATTCTGGGGCCTTCACTGGACGTGCGAGTGAGATAAAAGAAGCCCTTTCCAACGAAAGCTTTTATGTATTAGACAGAGATACATATAAATTTGCTTGTTCAATAATAATAATGGGTTCATGACTTCAGCATATCGTGTGTAAATACAGTACGTTCTCATTTCCACTGCTATATAATTTTTATCATGAAGTTTATTGAAAGACCCAAGGCAACAAACGAAAATTACTCTTTACCAATGAAGTTTTACGTATTTTTTTAATTAATAGCTCACAATATTTATGGAATATTATTTTAATTAAAATAAAAACTTCCTATGCAGAATGATGAATTTCCAGCAGCTTTTACTTATTCATTTCCGTCCTTATTACTTTTATCAAAAAAAAGTTTTAAAGTGAGGTTTAATTTTTAAAATGATAATATTTAAATCTTAAGTCAAATAATCCAACAAACATTATACAAGAAGTAGCAAAATTAATTGAAATCAAACATTAATATTTTTAATTTTTAAACATACTGTAGTTTATTGCGGACGTGCGACGTATGGTGCGAAAATGTCTATATTATGGGTACTTTAGTATATTCCATACGTTTCTACATTTATTTAATACTTGATTTGTTTACAATTAATAAGAAATGATAGTAACTATTCTCACGAATATGCTTCCAAAGTCACAGTTACAACCGTAAGAATTGAATGCCTTTGATCAAGAATTCTGCTGTCATGTACCTACACTGTGCTTCGTTAATTGTACAATTCGTATTCGTATATTGTACACTTTGTAGTATAATGTGTATATTATATACACTGTTTATTGTATAGTTTGCATTTCTGATCGAAAATATATAATGCTAAGTAATTAATTTATTAGAGGCATACACGTGAGCGCGATAGAACTGGATGTGGGTCAGGCGCTACACCGCGGCATTCACGTGTTTTTCTAGACCGTGGTTCTATTCGTAAAAGATCAAGTGCTTATTCGGAAGTTTTTTTTATTATTTATTATACTTTTAAACAATTCTTTATTAAATTAAGGCTTTGTGATTTTGAATTCTTAAATATTTACGCATTTTTTATAACAGTTCGTGTTGTGGTTTACTATAAACAGAGTTTATTTTTGAATTTAGAGTCCGGAAATAGAAAACAGAGCAAGAAACTACGGAGAAACGAACCCTAATTTGTACTGTTACTCTACTCTCTTGTAGTGTTAATTAACAAACCAAGTTTAGGCCTACTGCCAAATTTACTTTTAGTTCAGTAGGTTGCATCTGCATAATGGTGTCGCCAGTCGATAATGTAGGCTAGGTCTAGAGGCTATGCATGTAAATTTAATACATTTTCCGATTCAATGGCAACTGCACCTCCTTACCCCCTGGTGACTCCCGTGATCTGTATTGTATCTGTGGCGTGTCCTATTTCAGAAAAACGATATTAGCTAATATTATAGGTATTAAATAAATACATATCTATGTTTGTAAATTTATGTATTTATATTCATGTATAAAAAGGAATGAAGTTTTCATACAAAGGTATAAATTTGAGTAAAGCGCCATCTTTTCGACCGATTTTGCACTAGATGAAAGCGAAATATGATTTATACCATTGGTAAGAAATAATTTATGTGCATCGTTAAACCAAATAATTACATGGATTGCTGAATAAATTTAATATATATATGTAACAAATCTTTTATTTCAAATAATTTTCTGAAATTTCCATCGACAATATTGGTATTTTTTGGTTTATTGTATATGACAATGATATGTTTTCCGTCAGCTGGTTGCCAATGCCAATTGTCCTATCAAGTTGACATTTATTGTCACATGTCATATATTAAAATGAAAACATTGTTTTATTTAAACAATTTAAAATGTATATTGAAAATTAAATAATATTAAGAAAGTTCAAAGGGGAAGAACAAATAAAATACAGTATTGATAGTGTATATTTATCTGACTAGTCTTAAAAATAGCGCGTGCCGGCATCCTTTGTAATCGATGTCGTAGTATTTCTCGTAGAAATCTTGTATCAACTCCTCGACCTGCAACATGTCCATTGATATATTACAAGTGAAGTGCGATACGTGCAGTGAGGTCGCGCACGAACCATACATTGAGTGTTGTGAATGCGAGACTAATTTGTGTACGTCTTGTTTTGCCGCCGGTCAGGAAATACGCGAACATAAAAATTGCCACAAGTATGCAGTGCGAAGGAATGATTTCCCCCTTTTCGACAACTGCAATTGGTCGGCTAAAGAGGAGTGCAAATTACTATCAGCAATATCAACACATGGCTTTGGTAACTGGGAAGAAGTGTCAAAAGTTGTCCATACAAGATCAAAATTAGAATGTCATGAACATTATAAAAAATATTACATAGAAAATGTACAATACAAAGAGTTAAAGTTGCTTCCTGAAACAGAACAATCCTTATTTCCCAAACCAATAACTCCATACTTGTATAATTTACAGGTTTGTGTAAATCCACCACGAAATAACCAGTCCGACCAGCATCTAGCAGGTTATAACGCATACAGATCAGAATTCGAACTTAGTTATGATCATAATGCGGAAAATATATTTAATATTGAAGATGACTACTCAGATGATGAAGATGAAGAACTTATGGATGCCCTGAAAGTGGGCTTAGTGAAGGCATTTAACACAAGGCTGATAGAAAGACATAGGCGATATAATATTATAAAAAACCATGGCTTAATTGTGTTAAATAGAGTAGTTTCATGGTTAAAAAGATTTGACGACACATTAATGAGAGCAAAGACTGAAAAACTAGTCTCATTTATGCAGTTCATGACTGGTATGCAGTTTGATGCATTCATGGAATCATTGAGTCTTGAAGATGAGTTATTGCAAAAAATATTCCGGCTCAGTGATTATCGGAAGAACGGTATAAAAACGTTTTACTCAGCAAAGCTTTATCAGCAACTGAAAGTGGAGAATACTTTAGCATTTAAGGAACAGAAGTATCTTACGATGGTTATGCAAAATAGATTTGAGTCTCAGAGTCAATCTCCAATTAAATCAAAACAATATGGAATCAAAGATAAAAAGATGAAGAGAATGTCTATGCCATTGGATATTGTTGGTCTTCCGTGTTGTCATCTTTTATTAGACAGTGAAAAGACGTTATGTTCTAACTTGAGACTGTTGCCTACAAACTACTTGGACATCAAAGGTCAACTTATATCAGAGAACAATAAGTTAGGCTTTCTTAGGCTACTTGATGCTCGTAGGATTTTAAAGATTGATGTAAATAAAACTAGGAAAATATATGACTATCTTATGCAGGAAGGCTTTATTAATATGCCTCCAGTAAATAAATAACTGTATGAAATGTGGTGAAAATAATGAACTTTAATTTATAAGAAAAACTGCGATATGTAATTAGAATAAATTTTTTGATATTTTTTTAATTTTAATCTGTCTATATAAGTATATCCATATGTCAAAACCTCTTACATATTTCTTATTGCTATCTCTATTGTATTCTTAGAGAAAACTGAGATAACACTATTTTTTTATTTTATTTCTGCAGTGAAAACTCACACGACTCTAACTTAGTTTTGCAAGATATATATCCGCCATATAACAATAACTCACCTTAAAACCAAACTTCTGGTAGAGGAAAATAGCAGGGTTGGTCGGCGAGACATGCAAAGTTACATCTTTGCCCGTACAAGTCTAGAAAAATAAATAGCAATTAAATTGCTGAACATTTTTAACATTAACACATCCATATCTGCGACTCGGCTGACAAGTTCTCTTTAAGATAAAAAAAAAGTATGAAATGTGTTCATCTTCTTGTTCTTGACATGAAAGTTATATCAGCAACTTTAAGATATAAAGTAAAATATTATTTTGAGCAATCTACATACTACACCAACGCTAAAGGACCAATAACCAACTAAGAGTTCCGACATATAGACTGACAAGGCTATCGGAACCGTTGTGTATAAGTCAAACTAAATTATGTCAGCTCACTAGCGCCCTCTATCAACGTGAAGAAATTTTACAAGTTAATCTGTACTGTCATGTCATGTTTTTCTTTTGTCATTTTTTATGTTATGTTATAGAATTGCCACTGACCAGTTCAGATATCCTTGTTTGATTTAAATTGAATGTCAAATAACAGTTCTACCTGTAAGAGATGATACAACATGAAGGTGGCAATCTTGGCGTTCCTCCACTCGGGGCGCGTCAGTATGAAGGAGATGTATGCCTCGTTGTGTCCCGCGTCCGGCACCAGGAAGGCGCAGCCCACCACCAGCCGGCGGTACGTCACCACGCAGCTGAACTCAGGGTGCTGCAGCGCCTCCGTCACTGACACACACACACACCAAATACATTTATACATACTGACTGTCTGCTATACCAACATTAAACTTAGTAGGTTATGTGTTCTACCAGAATATGTTCTACATCTATGCCAAAATTCAGCGTGATCCATGGAACCGTTCTGAAGATACGCATACGATATGATCCGCATTTATAATATTAGTAAAATGAATATTAAAAAAAAAAACATGTGTGTTACTGACTATCGATGCCGGGCCAGAAGAACTGTGCGAGCAGCGCGTTGACAGGCGCGATGTGCTGCGGGCGAACGTAGCAATAGTCCAGGCTGGCCGGCGCTCGCGGCACGTACCCCACCTCCCCACTGTACACACACGCACACAACACTTCATACCATCTCCCAGACTCTTACACGGCATCAAGTTAGTTGTTTCTACGTACCGATGTGTTCTGGTGAGTAGTTCATCGGTAAGCCGCAGCCAGAGCGGGCGGGCGCTGGTGTCGCGGCGAATGTAGGGGCGGAGTAACGTGCCCGAGTAGGCGGAGCGGAAGGGTGCCGCCTCCCACCGCGACACCAGCGCCGCCCCGCGCTGCTGGCTCGCCACCGTGCCGCTCAGGTTGTCCAGCAAGTACTATAAATTACCACCTATAAGTGTTTAATTGTAAAATGATTATTCAAATTAAAAAAAAACAATTACTCACCGATCTCTGGAAGCGATCTAAAATTCTCTCGGCGTTCATTAAAACTTTGGGATCGTCAGCTATGTAGCCGCGCAGCAAACGCGCCGTTCTAGACAACGCAGACAAAATAACATTATTAAGTTTTTATTATATTTTTAAAATATTAATTTAAAACATACTTGTCAAGGTCAAAGATGGGCAGATGCTTATGTCTCTTCAGTCTCCTGAGAGCCAGCTTCGCTCTGAACCTGTGTAAATGGGCTTTCTTGTTTGAATCCTTGACCTTAGGAATAAGGTTCTCGACTCGCTTCAGCAGTTGGATCTCCTCGTACTCCGATACCTCCACCAGGTCGGGCGCCGGCGGGGGGTCCGGCTCCAACCACGGCATGTCTATGGAGTTGAGTTGTGTGGAGAAGAGAGATTCTCTTCTTAGGATCGGTGCCTCTTCTTGTTTCTTGGTCTTTTCGTTGGGAGGTTTCTTGAGTTCTGGACGCGTCCTGTCCTCGTAGTCGTCAGAGGTGGGGGGCTCGAGGTGTTGTGGGGAGCTGCGCGAGTCAGAGTCGTAGTTGTGCCCCGACTGCTGCAGCGAGTGGATGCTTGAAGTATCGCTCTGGTTAACAAAAATAATTACACAGATTTTTTTTAACAACTTCTTAAGAGACCGTTGACCAATATTTGTATTACTGAATTAAACTGCTATAAGGTTTCTATAGCTGTAGGTATATTTTGTTCGTTGTAACTGGTTTGGACTGAACATTTAAATGCTTAGATTATAGTTAGAAGTCCGACAATACCTGGCTAATCTGGGGTCTTACGGTATCGTAGGGGTAGCCCAGATATAAGGCATCTTCGGAGTTCAGACAAATATCTTGCCCCTCTGTGGTCACATCTTCAACAACTTCCTCCCTGCTAAACATGTTGCTGATTAACATTGGGACGAAAATAATTTGTTAATAATTTAATTTTCAGTTTTAAATGTTGACTAAAATTATATATTACTCGACATCATAGGCAAATTCCTGGCTGGTGGAGGGCTCACACTCGGAGTCCAAGCGCATCTTCTTACACGGAGGCTGGTCACCTATGTCCTTTATTAAATCCTTATAGCCTGAAAACAAATAAAACTCATAAAATACTGGTTATATTGACATCAAAACAACTGGCAATACATGGTTGTAAAATTTGATATTTTTTTTGTTATAAGAAAGTTACATGGCGTTTAGGAATCTACATTTTTGATCACCCATCTTACATTTTACCAGTACAGTTGTCAAAGGGCACTGCTCTGTGTTATTTACATATGTCCAATTGCACACAAAGGTGATTTTAATCATTGGACTGGAATAATGTAAACAGCGCTTAACAGATATGTCATGTTTCTGCTATATTTTATCATGAAGTCTGAATATTTTTATTATATTACATACCTAATTCAGCAGCTTTGGTGAAAAAAAGTCTTTTATCAACATTCAAGTAATTCCGTGGTCGTCCCTTGATTTTCTCTTTAGATAGCTCCAGATCTGTAATGCATACAAACATACATAAATATATTTAAGTCAATAATATTAAATACTAGTAAATAACATTTCCTTGTGGACGGAGTTGCATGCAACAGCTAATACATAATATTAAGATATACAAGACTTGATATAGTGCTGTTATGTTCATACTTATATGTGCAGCTACAGCTGGTGAGAAGGAATGCAACAGACGCCACCAGCCCGTCTCTCCCAGTGCAACAGAACCCGACATGAAGAATGTATTGTTATACACTGATAGGGCTCCAGCTATTGTACCAACCCAACTCTTCTTTTGTTTGCTACAATTGCAAAATAAGTAAGAAAGATTGAAATAATAAAGTGCCTTTTAACTTTAATACAAGTGTTTTTCATTATTCAAACCTTCAATCATTTTTATTAAAACTGATCTTTTTTTTCAATAAGTATGAATGTTTTTAACATTATAGGCGTAGAATCATAATTTCTTTGAACATATTTTTTAGGGTTCCGTGCCTCGAAAGGAAAGAATGGAACCCTTATAGAATCACATTGTTGTTTGTCCATATTTCTGTCAAGACTTTTTTATATAAACAATATTCACTTACAAATGTGTTCCGAACAATAGAACCCAGTTTCTGTCAATGAAGGAGCAGATATGTGTTTTGTAGTGGAAGAAACCATTGTTACTGATGCCGTACGACTGTATACTGAGGTGATGAAGGGTGAGCAGCAACACATTCACCCTAAAACAAATAGGTTTTATCAATAGCTATATTAAAAACCCCATATCTCACATTTATAATGTGAGATGTCTTTCATGACTACATTTTTACGTTTCAATGCGTGTATTTACTCTTTTTAAGAGTGTTTTTGTCTACACTATTTGTTGGTTACATATATAGCAAATGTAGATCAAACCCAGCCAGTGTCTTTTTATATAAAATCGTACCATTGAAATCTTTTTCTTTCAAAAACCTCTTCGTTATTTCCTGAACATTCAGCACAAACAAATTCAAAGAATACATCGCATGCAAAGTCGCCTGGCGTTCCCGGCCGGCGTAAGCAGGTTAAGTGGACGAAACTGTTGCAATTCTCACATCTCAGCCCCGGATTATCTTGTTTGTTTTCAGGATTCAGACAATATTTACAAAATATACTGGGTTTTATATCGGTATTTGAAAATTCTACAGTATTATTCACTTCCACCTCCATTGTTTTTGTTGATATTTTGTGATATTCACAATGACACTGACAACTGACATTGACATTGACAATCGCAACCAAATATGACTTATAGAAACCGTTGATAGTTAAAAAAAACATTTTTATTTTTCCTCTATTGATTTCAAATAATAAAACATATTCTTCATACAAGTTATTTTGGTTTTATTTATCTTAAAATTGGCTTTAGTAAATATTTGATATTTAAACAAGTTTTAAAGAAGTCTGTGCTTCTTGCTGTGGGCTGCTACTTTTTTGGTTCACTAAGATTGTATTCATATCTTGGTTAGACATGGCCCAAAATAAATAACGTTCATACATACATCACAAACATACAATGGGACAATAAAATGCAATGTTGAAATTGTAGTAACTTCATTAAAACGATTTAAACTAATTAAACTATTTATTTATTATTCATTAAGCGTTGTTAAGTCTGAAATTCCGTATCCATTGTTCTATATTACGTTTGTGCTCCTGGCGCGCCATTTTAACGGACTCTGGATCGTCGGAATTTTGAGGCATCAAGTCGAGATGATGAGCAGTGTCAATCATCACTACCGCTTTGATCGTATCACTTATACTGCTGAGTAGGCCACCTGAAAAAAAATAGCGCCGGTGAAAATAAAATTCTCTTCTTACCGTTGATGGACGGTTAATTCTATCTGTTATTAATTTTAATCTTCACTACCACCAGCAACCCATGGGCAAACATCAGCACCAAAATAGCAAAAACTAAATAGGCGCAAAATAGTGTGGTTTATAGCCTGTTTATGTATAGAGGTCAGTGGTTCATAAACTCCCCAATTCGTTGGTTCAATTCATATTGTCAATTTATTCAGAAGAATTGCCAGTCGCAATACTTTATAAAAGCTTAAGCATCACCTCCAGCCCAAGGATCCAAGAGGCCGTTACTAAAGATGATGTTAGACGCGGCCTGAAGGCGGTCACCGCCGTACTGCAGCCAGGCGGCTTCGGGGCGCGGATACACTTTGTACTTCTTGTGGCACTCCTCGGAGAACTCGGTGAAGTTCCAGGGCATCGGCTCGAACATGTCGTCGACACCGTTCGTACACATCGGCATCACCATCTCAGTACAAGCCTGATGTAAAGAAACAGTATTTATTTATCATTTTTATTTCAAATATTAATCACTAACTGTGGAATTAAAAAAAACTTTATTAATATGTGTTCTCCCAAACTATTATATGTTCTATATCTGTGATATGTCAAATTTCAGCGAAATCCACGCAGCCGTTCCGGAGATATCTACTAATAAACATCCATCCCAACATTCGCATTTACTATACTAGTAAGATTTAGATTTCTAACAGCTGTTTACTAACGTTTAGTATAAGGTTTAGTATTGTAAAATAAATTGGATATATATTTATTATTACCTGGTAGTCCCAGCCGGTGGCATTGAGGTTGCCATAATCTGTACTTTTGTAGTTAACGCATTCACCTTTGCCATTGTAGTTTGTGTATACTTGCAACACTTTGCCAATACCCTGTAAATTATTAACAATTATTTATCTAGTTTAATTAAGGGTTTTTTACGTATCTGCTATGGTATACATAATTATTTTAGAATATGACCATTTCCTTGAGTTTTTAGGTAATTTTAAGAGAAAAAAGAAGAGTGTAGGAAATTACCTCTAGAAGTTTTTGTCCGGTTAGTTTCTCGCTTAGATACTGGCAAACGGATCGCACGGGATTGGCGGGTAAGGGTAGGAGAAAATCAGAGGCGAAGGGGTAGTTGACCATGGCGAGGGTGTCGTACATCCCCTGTAGGTAGTCGATCAGGTCCTGTACATCTTCCTTGGTGTCATTCACCGCTACGCACAAGTTCCATTCCTTCTTCAGCCAATCCGCGTTCGTTTTGTTCGCTACGAAAGTTCTGAAAGGGTACCAAATGAAACAGTATTAAATGTTAAAGTATCTACTTAAGCCTCCAATAATAAATAATAGCTTATTCTTTTACATACAAGGAATATGACAATCGAAAAGTAAACTTAGAAACAGCGTAGAAAGATGTTAAAAAATGAGCTACCTCAGTACACTCCACGATTGTCTTATATTATCCCTACAGACTTTGCTGGCGACATTGAAGCTGGATGTGACAATCCTGTGGAAGACCTCGCAGGGCACCATGCCGGAGAACATGTGGACCGGTGCCGAGGCTGCGATAGCACCTTGCACTAGGTGAGGGTACTTGATACGGAAATACGCAGCCAACATGCCCCCATACGAACCTGGAGATAGATTTAAAAAAAATCGAGTTTAACATTCTGTACAGTAGACTTCCAGAATGCTGTAGAATTGATTGTTTTTTTTTAATAACGTAAGATCTCTTTACAGCGAAGTCTTTCTTTTAAAATTATTGAACATAATTTTACGGACAAAGAATCGTGCATCCGAATGATGTCAATCTCAAGGCCAATGAGGTAATTCCGCGTTATCAATAAAAAATATATCATACTTATATTCGTTACTTATTTACTACGAATTCAAATTGCAAATATGGTATGCAAGTTATTTTTTTAATAGCAAGCGTACTAATGCAGTATTTACTAGAAATATTCATTTTTAAGGAAAATATACAAGTAATTGACTCAATTTTAATGTACTAAAATGTTTATGTACAAAAGCTATAGTTTAGAACACTTACCACCAAAAGCGATGACAGGATATTTGGGCTTTAAGTTTTTGCCGCCTTGAAGGAAGTTGACCAGCTGAGCGTAGTCTGCGAGGGCCTGAGCTGAGGTTAGGTAGCCAATATGCTCGTTGTCCAATGACTTGTCTCCGAACGGCATTGACTTGCCGTAGTACCTGAATTTTATCAAACGTTAAAATTCTCATATTAGTTACACAAAATACCGCTATAAATATAATATTAACCTGTGTTCTGCAAAGATAATTTTGGCTTCAAATTCTCTCGCTATTTCCCACATGAAGCCGGTGTGCTTGGCAAATGACTCGATTTGACCCTGTTACAGAACCAATTTTAATACATCTGCTAAAGGATAAAACAAATAAATAGTTAAATGATCTACTGAAAAGAAATGTACGAACACCGAGACATAGTTAACAGGAAGACAAGTAAAAGAGTGGAGGTATAACCGTCGCTATCTAGATGTTTTGACTAATGATTTCCTTTAAAATCTGTAAGCAACATATCTAAAGTCATAATTTGTATTTAATGTTTATTTACACTTGTGTTTCTACTTTGTATTAAACAAATGTTACTGATAAAAGGTTAATACCTTCTGTGTTATGTATTAGTATATATCTACTGTTGATAGTTAAATATTTTAAGGTACATAATATGTTTTCTGGTATGATTTTAATATGTTGATCTGTGATCGCAAGTCTAAACTATTTGCTGTAAACACTTTTAACAACAGTGCCCTTTTATTCTGGACAAAATAAAACGATACAAATGTTTTGATTAGCGTGATCAAAAGCTATATAAAATGATTAATGTCCTACTCATCTAATATTTCTTCTTCATTTCTTTATCTTCTGTATGTTATTAAAATATGTTGCATTAAATAAAATCTTACCTCATTCCCGGTGTAGAAGAATATTGGTCCATTTCCCCTGTTCCAGTATTGATCGCTTTCGATGTACCTTATTTTGAATGTCTCATTGCGTTGAAAGCCGAAATGATCTAGAGGTACGACGAACTCCTTCGTTTCATTATGATATGCAGCTACAGTGCCCAAGAAGAGCACTAGAATGTAAGTTGCGTGTCGCATTGTGTGTGACTGTACCGCGATAACTGACGTCCGCTCGCGTCCGCACGTTAAGTGATAATGAGCAATCTGAAGCCGACCAAGTGCTAACTCGTTTATGTAATATGTACAGTCGTGTACAAAATTCGTTATTCACTTAATAACAAGTGTAAACAATACATCAGATGTAGATAATACGTTAAGCGTATTTACTAGGATTATAACATACTTGTAGGTTCTAAAACTAGTCTATGTATTTTATTACTTTTGTTTTTATGTCTAATTCAACTTGAAACTATCGTTAAGTATGTTTAAAGTTCGATTTCATTGTGACACAGCTTGGTAAAATGTTATTTTAAGATTAATATTTATGGCATTTGACGTTTGTACGCGAATGTACTTGTATCGGTTATCAGGGTACATTTGACCCGGCGCGTCCCGCCGCCCTCCCGCGGGAAGTCTGCGCACTGAGCGACTCCGGCGCATCATTGGAACTCAGATTTTTTGAATCGAATATTCATTAGTACTTGACGATACTAAGTTGTTAAATGGTCTAAGCATAAATCTGAAATTGAATTGAACGAACTGTAATAATTAGTGTATAAAAAGCAAAATGTTCTAAATTCTTAATTTTAGTTTTATTGAATTTGATCAACTGGAAACATTGCACTCTTGGTGTAATTTCTATCAACAACGTGTTACATCTCTAATAACTCTTACATGCTAATAAACTTACATATTTATTATTTGACATTTTCATGACAATTTTATTAAGATTAACAAGAAGATTATTTTATTTAAATGAACGGTAAAAAGAATTGATTTTATTCACACATCAATTTAATTATATTATTAATTAAATTTATACAAATATAAAAACATTATGCCATCGATTCCTTTTTTTTAATTATAACCACTAGTATATTAATTAATAATTAGCTTGAAAACACAAAAAATAATAATAATATAAATACAATATAATACATAATACACATAAATCTTTTTATTTTATAGAAATCCCGTCATTTTTACATGAATATTTAATAAACATTATTTTCCGTAATGACCAAGGGTCAGCCACCAGTCCAGTCACCGCCAGATCCTGCAGCTGTTATCCTTGGAGGCAGTGACTATAGTGTCGCCAGCATACGAAAAGGCACACGAAAATATCTCGCTCTGGTGTCCTGACAGCACCTAAAAATTTTAAGTTTCCACTGTAGTGAACCTTGTGTTAACATATTATTGTCTCTATTATATTAAAGCGAAAG